AGTGTATCTTTATCCTTTTCTCTCCTATACCCTTAAAAAAAATAAAGATACGTGGACCCCTGAAATACTTTTTTTTTTTGCTTAGCGCTATTTTGGAATATGACCCTTTCCTAGACTCAAAAACGTGGCAACATCACAGCAAACGCGAGTAAAGATCGGGTAATTTCAACTAGAAACTTGGGTAATCCGACTTTACCTCATTAGCAACACTGCAGCTGGCTCACATTTAAACTTATCCTAAAAATCCTATAGAGGTACTGATCGAACCAAGGAGAAAACCACCCCCCCGAATTTGTGCAAACAATTTCTCAAACTTACCGCAAATTCCTCCAAATTCTCCACAAATTCCTCTAAATTCCCTGCAAATTCCTCCAAACTGCTCGCAAATTCCCTGCAAATGTCTGTTACAAATTCCCATAAAAATCCTCAAAATTGTTTATGTTATGTTATTTTTCTATTTTTATTACATTCTATTTTTATTACACAATTTTTGTATTTTTTATATTTTCTTCTATGTTTTTTTTTTATATCGTTTTATATTTCTTTTTTTTTCAATGTTCTAATATTTTTTAAAAAGATTTGTTTTGGTTTTTGTACATTCCATTATTTATTGCGTATTTTCCCATCTTTGTTTCAAAGCGTTATGCTTTAAATAATCCAATTTTTTTATATACTCAATATTGATGAGGAGAATTAGTTGACAATCTGATGGTTGGATAATGTTGTTATTGCCAATACATAAAACCAAACATGGTTGTATCAATAAGGATTTTTGTGTTTTACGATAGTAGTGTTGAAATCCTCCATCTGTCAAAAATTAATATTTTCGACAGTTGACATATAACACATGTTAGGCTTTTTGAGTTGTTGTTGTTGTCAAGAGAAAGCCAGAAGTGGAATTCTCAAAGTTTATAATAAATAAAGATTATTACAAATCGCAGTCCAACTTTTGTCCATGCACTATATTCCTCAAACTCTCATAGGTTATGGGCCCAGCGATAGTTGGACACTGTTGGCTGTTAGTAGAAACTGAAAAGTAAAGTGAATGTTTAGTATTGTGTAAGTCGTGGCAGTGAGGCTCACTGCAGAAAGCATTCAAGAAGTGAAAGTTATAGCAATGGCAGCTCAAATCCCGCATCATATAAATGTGACGCTCTTCAACGGCACAGGCTTTTCTAAATGGGAATTTAGGGTTAAGTTAGCTCACGAGCAAGTTGGAGTGCTCTACGTTTTGACAATAGATCCCCCTATTGTTAATCCCTCGCAGCGCCTGATGTGGCTGCAAAAGAGAAGGAACTGAAAACATGGAAGAAAGACGACGTGAGAGCCCGAAATATAATAGTGCAATGCTTAGCAGACAATATGCTGGAATTGATGAAGACAAAACCGACAGCTAAAGAAATCCTAGAAACTTTGAGCAACACATACACTATGAAAAGCATTTCAACTCAAGTTGTGCTACAAAAAAAACTTCGAGGGCTAAAGTTTTTGGCAGAAACCCCCACTAATATTTTTTTAACTACCTTCGAACAAACAGTCTGTGAATTGAGAGCGGCTGGCGGAAAAATTGAGAGCAATGAAGTAGTCTCACAGCTACTATCAGCAACGCCAGAGTCGCCAAAAACACTCCGTCCGTTTCGTGTGGTTTGAGAAAATACACCTGCGGTTTTTCGTTTGCCGCGACCGGTTAAATCAAGACGGTTCCATTTGCACTCCTTCGCATTGGACTTGAACTTCCTGAAAGAGCTGGCCAACTGAGTGGAGTTTGGAAGTAAAGTCAGGCAAGGTAAAAAAAATATCCTTTTCAGTTTCGATATCTTTCAATTTCAATTTAAAATCTTTCATCGATTACCATTCTATCAGCAACCTGTGGATCTTCCAGTTTCAATTTCGCACATTAATTTGCTTGCAGTTATCACGGCAATAGATGTCATGTTTTGCCAAGACGAATCAAAAGTCACCTTAGATTTTGTGAAAAATAAATTGCTGCTTGCAGAAACAAGAAAAGAAAATAAAGAAGGTGAATCAAGCACTGACCAGGTAGCATTTACAGGATTTAGAAAAAATTGGCAGAGAAGAGGGGGACATTCTCGAGGAAATTATTCAGGAAATTACGAAAGGAGGCCATTTCCATTCGAATGCCATAACTGTGGAGTCGAGGGTCATATGAAGTATGAATGCCATAAGTTTGGTAAAGCTGGCACTGGAAAAGTGCATGTAGCTGAAGAAAGTATTGATGGTAGTGACAGATCAGGTGATGGAATAACATTTCTAACACAGGATGCAAGTGAAGATACCTCACAAATAAGCGAAGAATCATGTGCAATCCAGTGCAAGAGTGGAGAGATCAAATTCATAATAGATAGTGATGCAACGAATCATCTGGTAGATGACGGCATTGGACAGTTTTTAGTTAACGCGCAAGAAGTTTCATACTCAATAAAAGTTGCAAAACAAGCGGAGACTATGCAAGCGACAAAGAAAGGGAATCTGAACTTGAAAACTGACAGTGGCATGTTTTAATAAAAAAATGTATGTCTGTTTCATAATCTACTATCAGTGCAAAAACTTGCAGAAAATGGTTATCAAGTCCTGTTGACAGATAAGCAAGCACAGATAATTAGAAATGGAAAAATGATTTTGAAAGGCCATCTATGTGGAAATCTCTATGTAATTGTACTAAAACTCCCTGAAACAGCAGAAACACATTTAACATCAAATGAAATGTTGCTTTAGCATAGACGAAGGGGGCATTCATGCAAGTTTCCTGCACCTAGTGTTTGTGAAGTCTGTCTTCAGGGCAAACAAACAAGACGGCCCTTTGAAACGTATCTTAGAAGTAGTGTCAACGGACGTTTGTGGATCAATAAATCCACCAACACACGATGGAAAGTCGTATTATGTGAGCTTCATTGACCATTTCTCGCATTTTGGAATGATTTACTTGATGTCGAAGAAGAGTGAGGTTATCAACAAGTTTACACTATATGTGCCCCAAGTTGAAGCAAAGTTTGGTACTCGGATTGCAAGATTGAGATGTGACAATGGTGGTGAGTACTCGTCCACTGAATCTAAGAGATTTTGTAGCAAAAGGGAAATAGAAATTCAGTACGCTGTTGCTCGCAATCCAGAGCAGAACGGAATTGCAGAGCGATACAACAGAACTATTCGTGAAAAGGCAAGGTGTCTTATTTTTGATGCGAAACTAGAAAGGAACATGTGGGGAGAAGCTGTAAGAACTGCAGTGTGTACCTAACAAATAGAATTCAATCTAGAACATTACCAGAACATCAATGTCCTACAGAAATCTGGTAGGGTGCAAAATCAAACCTGAATAAAATCAAACTTTTTGGTACAACAGCTTATAACCTAATACCAAAAGAGGAAAGAACCTCAAACCTTGACTCTCATGTGAAAAGTTGATATTGGTTGGGTACACCAATAATGGCTACAGGTTGCGGGAACCAGAAACTGAGAAAATATTGGTGGGAAGAAACGTAGTTTTTGTTGAAATAACAAATTAAGGCCAAATTTGTATAGAATTCAATAAGGAGAAGGAAAAAGACGAAGAAAAAGAGGTTTCAGAACAAGTAAAAGTTATAGAGCTTGAAAATGGACAAAATGAGACGGAACAAAACATCAGAAAAACCAGCACCAGAATCAGACAACTTCCTAAACACTTAAAAGACTATTAGAGCTTGAAGCAAATTTTATGGTAGCTCTTTCTGCGGGTGCAACAATTTCTGATGTACCACAAACATATGATGAAGCAGTGAAAGATGGTGGCTAGCAAGAAGCTATAAATCAAGAACTGGATTCGTTCAAAGAAAACTGCACATGGGAATTAGTGTCTGCACCTGAAAATCAGGAGATTATTGAATATTCAAAATGGATATTCCGTGAAGTACTCACTTGATGAAGATGTGTACGCACCATTTGCTAGAATGGTGACGATTCGTGTATTATTATCCTTATTTTTTCGTGCAACTATCAGATGTGAGTCCTGCATTTTTATATGGAACTCTAGAAAAGCCAGTGTACATGAAACAACCACAGGGACTTGATGAAAATCCTAATCTGATATGTAAACTTTATGAATCTTTGTTTGGTCTCAAGCAGGCACCTAAATGTTGGAACAGTTTGTTCCCTAAAAATCTTTTAAATTTAGGATTAGAAAGATCCCTGCTTATATTTTGATGTTGAAACTTTTCTTTTGGTGTCTGTAGATGATGTGATCATATTCTCAGAAAGTTCAGATAGATTAGCTTACTTGAAGTCAGAACTTTCGAAGGTTTTCAGAATGAAAGAATACAAAAATTGATTGTTTAATCTAAAAATGAAGACAATCAATCGTGCATAAAAATTCTTCCAATATCTCATACATTCCTTCAATTTTCCATAAATTCCTCTAAATTCCCCACAGTTTTGGCAAAGAATTAGTAGGTGGTTTGCCCCTTGGATCGAACTAAGTTCGAGTGAAGCTACGGAATGTTGAGGGAGACCAGTGATAAAGGCAAACTGGAGAGCCGCATGTCAGACCTACAGACTGCCATAATCAAAGCCTTTGAAGAATCCTGTTCTGAAGTCATCTATATCACAGCCTGGGAAAGTCACACCACAAAATGCTGAAATCAAGGCTAGAAAATCTTTCAATAAAGATACCTTAACTTAATGTGATGCTTTAGCGGACGATTGTTTTTATTAGAACCCCATTGCTAGTTCAAAGTGGTGAGAAAAAAGTGAAAATATCAGAAAGTATCAACCCCAAGGGTAAATGTAATACCAAAACACGGTCCAACATTCTCCCAACTTGAATCACGCGAAAAACTTCCATTGTCGACCATGATAGTGACTCAACAATTTATTTTTCTGGTCTCTTCACCTTTTGTCCTTTTCTTGTCGAGGTACCATTTCTCTGTTTGGTCTTCTCTCATGACGCACATCTTGATATAACAGGATCGAAATCTTCGTACCTACTACAATGATTTTTATTATGTAGAGAAATAAACCACGCATAATTAACAACATGAACAAAGTTTTAGAAATACATAAGACTGGTTTCATTACTACTCCATCCTCACTACCAACTTCCAATAACTAAGAATTAAAAACTAAACGCATTTATTTTCTATTATCATATTTCACTGTGTACAAATTCATCACCTTCGTAACAGCTTCTTGCCATTGAATCCTCAAAACTTGCAACATTTCATCGAAATTCTCATTTTGCACTTCATTAGAGTATTTATTGTAAGCATCTCTGATATCGATAGAAAACAAATCCATATCTTCTGAATTTGAAAACGAATCTGAAACACAACCACTGACACATCCACTCAGTCCCGGTGTGGGTGTTAAAGACGGAGGCGGCGATTTTGCTGAAAACGATTCTTCCATTGTAAATAAACTGTGCGAATAACTACAATCTATTAGTTCATTGGAAAGTACGTTTGTGTCAGTTTTGGAAAATGATTTGGCATCGTAGACCAATAAAAAAGATTTACAATGGGCAATGATATTTTGTTGAGCCGATTTATCGTGTGAACCAAATTCAATCAACATTCTTATCAATTGGACTTTTTCGTTTAGTTTTAAAACAAGATCTTCTATGACATTTCGCACATCATTTATCAGCTGGAAATTATATAAGTTTTGTATAAATTGATAAAAACTATTTTAATAATTGGTACCCTAATGATTGGAGGAATAATGTCCTTCAAAGCAAAGAAATCGTCAACTGCTTTACCAAACTGATCGTTTAATTTTTCCAAATATGGTTCCTTGATATCTTCAAACAACTCCTTGGCCTCACTGTAAATAATTTCCGCCTCAATTTGTAAATTCTCCAAAAGCTTTTTGTTTGTGGGGTGGCCATGCAAAGGTTTCAATTTTTTGTTGAGCTCTTCATATTTTTGCTGCACACATTTTTTGCGCTTCCTCATGTCTCGTTGGATTTCAATTTCGTAAAAATCATCGAAATTTTTCAAAGCTTTTCTTGCATATTCGTCTATGTAAGTTTCGATGCAATCTTGAAGAACGTATACACATCTGGCAGCGAACGAAATAAACTCTTTTGTGTCTTGCAATGTTCTCATTTCGCATTGACTTTGAATGTTGGAGAATTTTTTGTAGAGGCCTTGCATAAGTTTAACTAATCCTGGTTCAATCTGGAATAATTATTTAGAAAAAAATTTCGTTGACTAATTTATTACCATTTCATCATCCAAATAAAATCCCCGACTGTGGTCTGCATAAAATTCCATTCCGTATGCGATAATATCGTTCCAATAATCCCGTATGAGTTTGTTGAGTTTCAAAAAATAATATTTCTCCTCATTGTAGTCGTTGTTGTAAAGTGGAATTTTAACATTGAAAAGTTTCATTGTCAATTCGTCGACGGCTTTGTAATTTTCTGCAGTTGCGGCCTCAGGTTCTATATCAACATTCGATTTGTCCGAGTAAATTCTTATTGGAAAAGGATCGTCTAGGTATTCGGTTATTTCGATAATCTTTTGGGACATGTCTTTAAGTTGTTCAGAGAAATCCTATATGAAGACGACTGGTCAAAATAATATCTCAATTTGTTTACCGGTGTGAAGTTGGTAGCAAATGATAGTAACAAAATTTTCCGAAGATACCCAAACGCCCAATTAGACTGGTGGACATTTCCAGAAATCTTACTCTATTTTACTCCGAGCGGCATTTCGTGCGACATTCGGCAACTTGACGTTGAATCCGAATCCGGATGTTGCCAAGCCGAATTTTGTCTCCAAAGGCCTCAAATCCAAAATGGCGGCAAAACTAAGGGCCTAATGACATTTTTCTTAAAGTGTATCGTTATTGACCGGCAAGACATCGTTCCATATGTTTTTGGGGTCGCTGAACATGAATATGAGTACCGGAAGTCGATTCGGATACCAGAAGTACCATAATTCAAGATGGCGGCCGTCGGGGGCCTAAATACAAAACTTTCAGAAGTTGGCATATTGTCAAGTGCGGCGTATCGACACATACGATTTGACGTCGACTAGATCAAAAATTAGCACCAGAAATCGATTAGGCAACCGGAAGTACCGTAATCCAAGATGGCGACCGGTTGGGGCCCAAATACCAAACTTAAAGTTGCTATAATATGACGTGCTGGGTATGACCACAAGTGTTTTGGAGGTCGCTGAACACGAATATGAGGTTGGAAAAGCGATAGGAAATATGTTTACACAAGTTTGCCGCACCCTGACCTGCAGCCGGAACTCAGTAACTGCGTGCAGGACATGGGCACCGCTGGCAGGGTGGTGTAGACTGATGGGATGTAATTCTCCTTCAGACGCCATCCGTACCGGCAAGGATCAGGAAGGTCTGGCCTTGCTATATGTGCATTCAGCCAGACCTCGGCTAGGTACGCGGCTCGGAGAATGTGAACATGGGCTGCATCAGACGTAGCTGGGAACAATTCAGGACTTGAAACTTTTCCAGGAAGAATGTGTCTCGCTTCATCACAGGTATTTTCTCTTCTCTTGTACAAAAGTACCATGAATTGCTCGCACTTTGACAAAAATCTCTCCTGAACTTCTGCAACTGCGAGTCCATCAAGAAGCTTGGAACTAGAGCACCTCTCTTTCCTATACCTGTAATATGAATTTAAATAAGTGTCTAGTGCAGCAAAAATATATACGTAAAAAAAGTAAACTGAACACCGACCTGCTATGAATGAGTTAGTGTCACAACCGGTCAGCGCATGGAATATAAGTCCATCTCATTGCTAGCAGATACTTGTAGTTCGTCAGCGAACCCTCCAGCGACAACTACTGTAGTCTCCCCGTAATCGGCTGTCAATATTTCATTTTAAATAAGAGCTGCTACCTAAGCTTTGTTCTCATAAAGCGCGACATAGTTGGACCAATTCTTAGGAAGAGGCGCTGTTCTTGACGTTGAAGCCTTGCGAATTGGGCGTGAAGATGCAGTTCTCTTCTGTCGTGTTCCAGCTTTAATGGATAGTTTATTGTATCTGTAACATGAAATAATTAACTATGTATAAAAAAGGAAATAATATCGTTTGGAAGAAGCCTGAATGTCAGTATAAAACTTAGTTACCTGTCAAGCCCCAACCGGTCGCCATCTTGGATTACGGTACTTCCGGTTGCCTAATCGATTTCTGGTGCTAATTTTTGATCTAGTCGACGTCAAAAACATATGTGCCGTTACGCCGCACTTCACAATATGCCAACTTCTGAAAGTTCTGTGTTTAGGCCGCCATCCTGAATTATGGTACTTCTGGTATCCGAATCGACTTCCGGTACTCATATTCATGTTCAGCGACTCCAAAAACATATGAAACGACATCTCGCCGGTCAATAACGATACACTTTAAGAAAAATGTCATTTAGGCCCTTAGTTTGGCCGCCATCTTGGATTTGAGGCCATTGGAGGCAAAATTCGGCTTGGCAACATCCGGATTCGGATTTAGCGGGGTCGAAATACCCTAGAAACGTCAAGTTGCCGAATGTCGCACGAAATGCCACTCGGAGTAAAATTTCTGAAAATGTCCACAGTTACATAGCAGCAAAAACAACCCGCCCAGAATCTTGGGGAAAGGGAAAATATATTAAGGGGTATACGAGAGGATTTTTTTGATGTTATTTTATTTTTTGAAATATCTGAAAATCTGCTTGTTTCAACAGATTCATATTTAAACCACGGTTAACTAAGGTGCTGATTCAACTTAAAGAAAAAAATATTTCATCCCCATCAACCCGGGACAAGGGTTGCAACGGAGGGTTGAAAGCATATTTTTTGAAATATCTGAAAATCTGCTCATTTCAACAGATTCATATTTGAACCACGGTTAACTTGGGTGCCGATTTAATTGTAAAAAAATACTTCATCCTCAGCAACCTGGGACAAGGGGTGCAAATAAGGGGCTGAAAGCATACTTTTTGAAATATATTAAAATCTGCTCGTTTCAACAGATTCATATTTGGACCACGGTTAACTTAGGTGATGATTCAATTTAAAAAAAATATTTATATATCGTCCCCTACAACCCGGGACAAGGGGTACAACTGTGGGTTGGAAGCATATTTTTTGAAATATCTCATAATCTGCCCGTTTCAACAGATTTATATTTGAACCACGGTTAACTTAGGTGCTGATTCAATTTTGAAAAAATATTACTTTCCTAGCAAGGGGTGCAAATAAGGGGTTGAAAGCATATTTTTTGAAATATCTTAAAATCTGCTCGTTTCAACAGATTCATATTTAAATCACGGTTAAATTAGGTGCACCTATTGAATTGGTTGAAACGTTTTCTAACCTCAAAAAGTTTTGTAGCTGTGTTAGTAGGTTTTCTTTTTATCTATAGGTACTGTGTTTATGGCGCAACAAAACCTCCGTATCTATTCTGCGCATCCGCCGATCGAGGCGCATACGGACACGTTTGAAATTCAGGACTAGCTTAAAGTGTCTAATGATGTTCGAACAGCTAAAAGAAAACCCCTAAATTTTGACAATTTGTGTATTGGAATTTCCAAATAGGCCAGGTGTGACTCTCTGTTCAATTCAAGTGTGACAAATATAGAAAGTTTTCCAAGGGAAAAGAGCAATTGATGGCGGTTTCGATTTGATCACATTTGACAGTGACAGTTGACAAATATGTAGTGGTTTAAACGTCAACTGTCAAGAAAAGTGTACTAGTGCAATCAAAATGGAAATCGCTTATGACAGACATACATACAGGGTGTTATCTTTAAAAATCTTTAAAAATGTTTCTATTTTCTTTGGTTTTTCAAGGCAAAAACCGGGAATATGGAGATTATTAATTTTGTTTCGACTTTTGTCTATTCCAGGCTCTTGAGCTGAAAAATTGAAGAAATTCGGAATGAAAGAAAGCGCTACTCATGACTGGCATGTCAAGTTTAAACTGTCAGAAAATTGATATACTAGGTGGTCAAACACAGCACCAAAACGGTTGAAGATATCAAAATACGGTTTGCGCGTCATTGGTTGGCACCAATCAAGATTTCGTTGTAAACTCTGTGTTTTATTTAAAGATAATTTCCCAAGTCAAAAATTTAGTAACTATGTTGGCAAAACAAGCCTTTTTTATATAAAAAATTTGAAAGCATTGACAATTTTACATTGTATTGCCAACATAATGTCATTTTGACTTTTATCTTAAAAAAAAAACAGACTTTATGATCCAAAAATTGACGTTTTCCATTGAAAGTTTCCAAATTGAACCACCCTGTAGATCAATTTTTCGACAGTTTTCACTTGTCACAAGTAGCGCTTTCTTTTATTGGGAAGCGACATTTTTTTCCGAATTTTTTCAACTTTTCAATTACTAAAAGTAAACACCTCAACTTTGATATTTCAAGTAGTCATATCAAGTGTAGCATTTTCGTTAAGTTATACCCTCTCTTATGTAGGGATTTCAAGTGCAACAAAAATGGAGTTAATCGGAGTAAATTCAATCCATAGTTTTCAAATACACCTCAACTTTGACAGCTTTAGAAAGTATAGTAGCGCTTTCTTTGAACCATCAGTGACAGAGACAACTTGTTAATTTTTCAATTTTTCAGTTTCAATTAATAATCTCCTTATTCCCGGCTCTTGAACTGAAAAACTAAAGAAAACAGGGAGAGGCTCAAGAGCCTGGAATAGACAAATCAGCCTATTGAATCATTGAATCATCAATCAACCAATTGAATCGTCATGATTATTCAATTTAAAAAAAATATATATACTTATTTCATCCCCAGTAACCCGGGACAAGGGGTACAACTGGGGGTTGGAAGCATATTTTTTGAAATATCCCAAAATCTGCTCGTTTCAACAGATTTAGATTTGAACCACAGTTAACTTGAACCACTGATTCAATTTTGAAAAAATATTTCATCCCCAGCGACCCAGGACAAGGGGTGCAACTGAGGGTTGAAAGCATATTTTTTGAAATATCTCAAAATCTGCTGGTTTCAACAGATTCATATTTACGCTGTGGTCCGAATGTAACCAGGGTTGTGGTTTCGCTGTCCAAAAGTAATCAAATTACATTGGTTCCTGGAAAAGTAGTTACTTTTGGACCTCGGTGTCCTGAAATCCGGTTAACCAAATGTCAAAATACCTATCGGCTATCGGATGTCGGTTCTGTTGGTTTTATCTGTAATTTCTGTCAATAATTTTTTATTTCATATTTGCGTTCCCCAAGTAACCGGAATTTTCAGTAACCATCTGTCAACCGATTCGGTTACTTTGGTCAACGTTTGGTTATATTCGGACCATAGCCTAAAATTACGGTTAACCTATTCAATTTTCAAAAAATATTTCAGACTAGTTAATGACCCACTTTTTTTGTTGATTTTCTAAAAGTTTTTTTAAATTTTTTATCCGATACCAGAGTCGCTTGCCAGTGAGTTCAGTGACGCATTTTAAGCACTCTAAAGCTGCTCTGGCGCGCCCGGGGCTGTTTATAGGCGTTCCAGTGTATCAGAGTCTCACGCAACTAAACTTTTAGCCGAATTCGACTAACCGGATTAGATCGATCTGGTTCAATTTAAGTGTACCACACTGTGTTCGATTGAGGTTGGATCAGTGCAGCCTCATCCACAAAAAAATTATCGGGATCAGGAGAAGTTCACTTAAATTGAAACCAAATCGATCTAATCTAGGTCAATCGAATTCGGCTTATATAGAGACACGTGGTATTAAATTCAAGATTGATCCAGCCGTTCTCGAAGTCAAAAAATAATAATAAAGTTACGTCAGTTGAATGCGCAAGCTTAAATAAATGAAATGTGCAACGTTGTTTCATGTTGTCAAAAAAAAGTTGGGTTATGTTGTTGTGTAATGTGAATGAGTTTGTTTATAATTAAAATTAATAATTAATTTAATATTTTTTTTTTTTCCGAGATGCTTAACCTATCCACAAACCTTTCTTGGGATGGCCATAACAACCTACCAAAGTTTCATCGTAATCGGATAAATGGTGTAGAAGCGCATAAGGCACAAACAAACAAACAAACATTGATTAATATATATAGATATATAAAATATGCGTCCAACCCTCAATTGCACCCCTTGTTCCGGGTTGCTGGGCTTCAAATATGAATCTGTTGAAACAAGCAGATTTTGAAATATTTCAAAAAATATGCTTCCAACCCTCAGAATCGATCTGCTCTATAACATAGTAGGCTTTGTAATACGAAACACCGCGTTGCTCAATATTTCTTACTATACTAATGTACAGCGCTCGTAGGCTCTACATCGTGGTATCAGTAGTAAATGCCTTAACACGCTTGCCTACATACTCTCAATGGGTGGTATGAATAAAAACGAAGTACATGCTACTACTACAAGTATTAGTATATTCTTCGCAGTATTTACTTCACAAAGAAGCATTTACTAATTTCCGGTAATGTCGAAATGTAGTATCTACTTCGTTTTGAAGTAAATACTACGTAGAACATACTAATACGCGATGTGTACTTCGTTTTTATTCATACCACCCATCATCAGGACTAAGACATGAAACTAAAATTTCATCAAACTATAAATTTTTCGATTTTTCAATTTTACAGCTGAAATTCATCCTCATCTAAAAGTCGTGATGAAACATTGAAACAAATTACCGGTGTGAAGTTGGTGGCCAAAGATAGAAGCAAAATTTTTAATTTTTTTCATTAAAAATGAAATGCTAACGTCACAATTTCGATTTCACAACTTGCTCTCACTTCTGTTATTACAGGCCACTTCATTAAAGCTGCTATTGACATTTAAATACCTTTTTATATACATATACTTTTGAAGATGAGGTATTGGGTGGTATGAATAAAAACGAAGTACTTGCTACTACTACAAGTATTAGTATGTTCTACGTAGTATTTACTTCAAAACGAAGTAGATACTACATTTCGAACTTACCGGAAATTAGTAAATGCTTCTTTGTGAAGTAAATACTACGAAGAACATACTAATACTTGTAGTAGTAGCACGTACTTCGTGTTTATTCATACCACCCAATACCTCATCTTCAAAAGTATGTATATAAAAAGGTATTTAAATGTCCATAGCAGCTTTAATGAAGTGGACTGTAATAACAGAAGTGAGAGCAAGTTGTGAAATCGAAATTGTGACGTTAGCATTTCATTTTTAATGAAAAAAGTTAAAAATTTTGCTTCTATCTTTGGCCACCAACTTCACACCGGTAATTTGTTTCAATGTTTCATCACGACTTTTAGATGAGGATGAATTTCAGTTGTAAAATTGAAAAATCGAAAAATTTATAGTTTGATGAAATTTTAGTTTCATGTCTTAGTCCTGATGAGTCATTTTAATCATTCAATCAACGCAATTACTTTGTAATAGTTAAAATCGCCGCAATTTTTCGTAATTTGTTCTTCAGATTTATCAAACTGGTCAGTGAGTGATTGGAATTTTCTCTGAAACATGTACACTTCTTTTATCAATTGCTTTTCCAGATTGTTCAACTTCTTTTTAATATTTTCCATAAACTTGTGTTCATTATCAATTCCATTCAACGTACAAGTAACTTCTGCTTTTTTTTCTTGAACATTTTCTATTAATTTTTGTTTGTGACTTGCCGCATCTTTTCTAATATCATTCAGTACTTTCTCAACTTGATTCTCAACTTTTTCCATATTTTTCAATAAATCTTTTATCTCCGTTATGGAATAATTACCATATTCAGAAAATAATTTAATATTTTTGAGAAAGAGGACGTGACTGGCTTTAACACTACTGAAAAAATTATCGTACTTGTTCAGATTCTCTAAAATAAAATTGTCGATTTCTCCTAAAATAAATACAGTGCGTGCATTTAAAATTTGCATGATTCCAGCAATTGCGGATGAGTTTTCCGAGGAAACACTTTTCGTTTTCAATGCAGCAATTTCGTTTTTATAGGCATCTACGTTTGTTTCAAACTCAAATTGATCTTTCCTAAAAAGTAATTGCACATTATATATAATAAATTAAAAAAAATAAAAAATACTTGAATTCATATTTAAGTTTCTCCAAATCTCTTTCAACAGCAATTTTATGCTCATCAAATCTGCTTTGATGTAGGCACAACTCCTCTAGCCTTTCCTCATAAATATAAACCTCAATTTTCTTCAAGCGAGTTCGATTCACCCCAAGCCTTATTTCCAATCGTTTATCGGCACGTTTCAAATGGCCTTCTATCCATTTTTCAGTTTCTTCTAAAATCTCGGTTCTGGCAAGGTCCAAATAGCTGCTGATACTTTCCCATAATCCAAACTGCCAATTGCTGATTGCTTTAATTTGGAATGTACAGTAGAGCATTTGAGTGGAAATGAGGTTTTCGGTGTCGTCCATTGGTGCTATGCTTGTTTGACTTGCTCTTTTTCTCTGAAAAATTAAATTAAATAATCATAATGAACCAACAACATGAATTGTTTACTTGAATTTTGGGATCTATTTCTGGATCTGGTGGATAAAAATTCAAAAACCTTTTGACTTCCGTTACAAGTACATCCACTTTTAATTCCTGTACGTGTTTATATTTTCTCATCAATGCAATTTCAATTTGGTGTTGAGCTTTATACGAATTGTCCAACACATAAAACATTTTTTTAACATCCTCGAATGTCTTTTTTAGCTTTTCTTTGCCAGGCTCTTGCCTCAGAGTGTCTATGAGGACGTTCAACTTGGTTTCGGAGGCTTCGGAAATAGCGTCGTGTTCATGAACGGTGTTTTCCATATCTTTGAGCATGATCATTTGAAGAATTTCGGTCCGCCAGAAATGCGTTTTCCATAAAACCGAACCGGCGATTAAAAATTTGTAGGTGTAGTCGACGGCTTTTGTCATTTCGTTTATTAGATTGTTCCAAATCTAAACAATGTTTTGATTAGTTTTGAGCAATAATCTTAATGGTTTAACCGCAAATAAAATTGAGCACAAAATAAAACTATGGATTCGTTTTTATATAGAGGGATACAAGTTGTTTAGTGAAGACATAATATACGGGATACCCAATCCTGTAGAATATTTGACTCACCAATAATAATTATACAAGGGGTAAACCACCCTACCCTCCCAAATTTGTGCAAACACTTCCTCAAACTTCCCGCAAATTCCTTCAAATTCCCCACAAATTCCTTCAAACTGCTCGCAAATTCCCTGCAAATGCTTGTTACAAATTCCTTAAGAATCCCCAAAATTGTTCGTAATAAGAAATGTATTTTTCTATTTTTATTACGCTCAGTGTTAAAACCAATAAATTTCCCCAATTTCTCATACATTTCTCCAATTTCCCGTAAATTCCTTCAAATTCACCACAAATTCCTCCAAATTCCACACAAATTCCCCACGAATTCCTCTAAATTCCCCACGAATTCCTCTAAATTCCCCACGAATTCCTCTAAATTCTCCACGAATTCCTCTAAATTCCCCACAATTGTGAGTATTTTGAATCAATTTTCTTCGCTTTTCCATCCACAGACGCGTTTCGATCTCTGAGATTTCATCAGTGTGGCTAGGAAAGCAAAGAAAACCAATCCAAGTTTAGTGCCTGCAGGCAAAGTAGAAGTAATACGACGAGCACATTGATGATCGAAACGCGTCTGTGGATGGAAAAGCGAAGAAAATAAATCCAAGATTTTCACTCATTTGGACTTATAGTTCCTGGAATAAAATGGTGTTAAGCAATTTGGGGTGATTTATCAGTTTTTCAATTTTTCTGAATACATTTTTTCATAGATTTCGGCTTCAAATCTGGGAATAATTTAGTATATAAAGTTCGGGGGATATCAATGGCCCTAAGAATACAAAATCTCAACAACAAAAAATTTGAAATTTCATCGTTTTAGCAAGAAGGTAGCTACCTTATGATTTAGATTTTGGAAAACTTTGAAAGGTCATAACTTTTTTTCTATTATAGATGGAAAGCTGAAATTTTCAGCGATTCTTATTCCAGTAGAGGACTTCAATCCCTGAAAATTTCAACTCATTTGGACTCCTAGCTCCTCAGATAAAATCGTGTTAAGCAATTTGGAGTGATTTATCAATTTTTAAATTTTTCTGAGTGCCTTTTTTCATAGATTTCGGCTTCAAATTTGGGAATAACTTGGTGTATGTAGTTCGGGGGATATTAAGTGACCATTAGGACATAAAATCTCAACAATAAAAAATTTGAAATTTCATCGTTTTAGTAAGAAGGTAGTTTTAGGTTATGATTTAGATTTTCGAAAACTTTGAAAGGTCGTAACTTTTCTTCTATTATAGATAGGAAGCTGAAATTTTCAGCGATTCTTATTCCAGTAGAAAACTTCAATCCCTGGAAATTTCAACTCAGTTAGACTCCTAGTTCCTGATATAAAATTGTGTTAAGCAATTTGGGGTGATTTATCAATTTTTCAATTTTTCTGAGTGCCTTTTTTCATAGATTTCAGTGGCGCACCCAAGGGGGGGTTTTGGGGGTTAAAACCCCCCCCTCGAAATTTAGAACTGGTACAAAGAATTTTCCAATAAAAATATTGTTTTTGCGATTTTGGTTAATAGGTACCTACAAACTTTCCATTTTACATATATGGCACCCCTAGAAGGTTTTGCCTCCGACAGCGAGTTGATTTAGGTGATTAAACAGCGAAGTAAACACATAACTTATACATACACTTGGTTGGTTGGTTGGTTGAGATGCAGAATGAACAGGCCAGGTTAGGTGGCCCCAACACTGCAGCCGTCGACTTTTGTATTGTCCTGTTCGTCTGTTTAGTCAGTGAAAAGTTTAGGTTTAGGAGCCTCTTCACCGTGTTACTTTTGCTGACTTTAGAGATAGGGTCTTCTGGCGCTATCTGCCTATATCTCCACCAGCGTAAAGACTCACATTCAAAGAATGAAAGATTATATGGGTGGCGGTTTTATCTTCCTCAGTATAGCATTCATCACACTCACAAAGTCTGCTTATGGGTTCTTGGAGGATGCCCATTATGTGAAAGTGTTTTCTCAGGCTACAGTGTCCAGTTATTAGCCTGATGTGATTCCTGTTTGGTTTGTAGGATTTCTTCAGTGAGTTTAGGTGATGGTTGTTGTATACCATTAGCTTACTGTGTCTGAGCTTCGGAAGAGTTTGCCAGTAGGTTTTGTGTTGTCTATACACTCATTGGTTTATTTTTGTTCTTACCGATGATTTTGTGGTGCCAATTGCTGGTTCAGGACCAGTATAACTGGTTTCCGATCCTTCATCTCTTGCTAGAGCATCTGCTTTTTCATTTCCTTCAAATCCTTTATACCCTGGCCGCCATTTAAGGGTTACCTTGTTGGCCATACTTAGGTTTTTGATGTTTTCCAAGAGTTCCCAGACAAGTTTGGATTTTATTTCGAAGCTGTTGAGTGCATTGATCGACGCTTGACCGTCTAAGCAGATAAGGATGTTTTCACCTGTGTATCCCCTCCTCAGGTTTTCTCTTAGACAGGAGTCGATGACATATATTTCTGTTTGGAACAGCAGCAGGTTGACATACTTGCCGTTAGTGAGCTTCTCTGGGCACCGGTAATACAAAGACACGCAAGTCTCTGGATTTTGGCTAGATGCAGGTTTGCTTGTCTTTGGTTTACTTTAGGCCACCATACAAATCCACCATATGTTATCATTGGTCTTACAACCGTAGTGTATATCCATTGTAAAACTGACGGTTTCAGTCCCTATGTTTTCCCAACCGCTCTTTTCAGTGACAACAACGTCATCTTGCTTTTGGCGGTTATCTTTTGAATGTGTTGGTTCCATGTCAGCTTCATATTTAGGATGACGCCGAGGATGACGCCTAAAAATTTAGCTTCCCTGAAGTCCAAGGTTTTTTGGAATAGACTGGGAGCGAATAAGTTCTCCAGATTTCTTTTTCTCGTGAAAGGAATGAGTTTTGTTTTGGAGGGGTTGACGCGAAGTTGCTCACTCGTACACCATTCCTCAATGATTCTTAAGGCGTCCTGCATGAGGTTTGATACCGTCCTGGTCCTGGATCGTTTAGTTTCCTCAAAAGTTCATCCACGACTAAATTCCACTAGAGTGGTGAAAGTACTCCGCCCTATGGACATCCTTTTGTCGCGGTTACTTCAATAGAGGTTACAGCAATAGTCGAGTTTATAGTCCTCTGTTTTAGCATGGACTTGATCCATCTGCATGTGGTACAATAAGTTATTATATTAAATTTCTACCACCTTGACAGGTGTTAACCTGCTGGATTTGTCTACCAGCATAGAAATTAAATTTCTGACATCTTGACAAGGGTTAACAAAGTGACGTTTTTTTGACGTTTGGAGAAAAAAATTCTTCCTATGGCGGCCGGCCTACGGCGAGCCTTCATCATTATGAAACCCCCCCCCCCCCCCCAAATAAAAAACCTGGGTGCGCCACTGATAGATTTCGGTTTCAAATCTGGGAATAATTCAGTATATGAAGTTCGGGGAATATCAAATGACCATTAGGACACAAAATCTCAACAAAAAAAAAATTGAAATTTCATCGTTTTAGTTAAGAGGGTACCTTATGATTTAGATTTTGCAAAACTTTGAAAGGTCATAACTTTTTTTCTATTATAGAAAGAAAGCTGAAATTTTCAGCGATTTTTATTCCAGTAGAGGACTTTAATCCCTGGAAATTTCAACTCATTTGGACTCCTAGTTCCTCAGATAAAATCGTGTTAAGCAATTTGGGGTGATTTATCAATTTTTCAATTTTTCTGATTGCCTTTTTTCATAGATTTCGGCTTCAAATTTGGGAATAACTTGGTGTATGTAGTTCGGGAAATATTAATTGACCATTAGGACACAAAATCTCGAGCAAAATCTCAACAAAAAAAAAAATTGAAATTTCATCGTTTTAGTAAGAAGGATCTTATGATTTAGATTTTCGAAGACTTTGAAAGGTCGTAACTTTTCTTCTATTATAGATTGAAAGCTGAAATTTTCAGCGATTCTGATTCCAGTAGAGGACTTCAATCCCTCTAAATTTCAATTCATTTGGACTTTATTTATTTTATGTACCTAGTCAACAAATACACTGCCAAGCATAAAATTAGGGTCACCCCATAAATTGCAATTATTTTTAAAATTTTTGGTTTTTGCGAATTGTTTTTTTTTTTTTTTTTGGTGTAAAGTTCACTAACTTTATGCAATGATTTTGTCGTAGTTGCTTGAATTTAAAAAAGTTCTTGTTGTTTTGCCCCAAGTTGCTTGCAAATTATAGGATGACCCTAATTTTATGCTCGGCACTGTATTTTATTAATGGCCGTTTCCACCAACTATTTTAGGGGAACCCTAACGATAAGTATTCCCTAAAATGACATTTTTACATGGAGAAATGTCAGTTTAGGGCATACCTATCGTTAGGGCTTCCCTAAAATAGTTGGTGGAAATGGCCATTAATAATCAAAATTAAAGTTGCAAGCAAAACTCGAAGCAAAATAATTAAAATACGCATAAAAACACATATTGAAAATAAATTTCCTTGGCCGCCACATCATATTGAATTTTTATTTTGACAGATGCCTAATGAAAATCAAAAAGTAGGTTAGGTTCACAAATCACAGAATGTTTAGAATTAGGCAATCCAAAGACCTGTCCAAATGGCGCCTGGTTGGCAAACAATTAACAAAAAACATGTTTTTTCTTTTGGCGGGATTATGAATACACGGGGCGAGTTCTCAAATCTGACACTTTTTTGACATCGTTGACAGGTAACAACCCATATTCTAACCTCATAAAAATTTCAAAATGCCGGCTGGTTGGCAAAAGTCACGTGGTTTGGATTCCCTAATTATTTGGTTTTCGGTTCCGAAATCGTTCGCGGTAAAAAATAATCCTGAATCGATTCTCAACTAGACATGCGCTTTACGACAATCCCGAATTTGTTGTAAACCGATTCAGAATCGGACCCGCGAACAAGGCTATTATTATTATTTCTATATCTGTATCATACCCCCAGAATAATTTTCCCTCCTTTTCTTCCACAACCCAACATAACCAAACTATTATTATTCTTCTTTTTTGAGTAAAACATTTAACTATTAATTATAATAGATGTTTATTATTTTTATGATTATACCCAACCTTAAAATTTTATTCAGCATCCTAAACCTCTAACCAAAGCGGAGGTTGGAATCCGGGCATATCGTCTCCAGCTGAACGAAAACTGGAACCCAAAACCGAATGGACATGCGGCAATCACCAAAATAATCACAAACCCGATTTTAACCACTATGATTCCGAAAAAATCCCGCGGAAAACCCTTCGCCATCGAGATTGTTCCAATAGGAAACACTAAACAATAAATTGCCTGTTATACTGAGGACTTCGAAACAGGAACCGGTGCTGGAATACATGGACACACTCCCAGATGCGACATCAGTCAACCTTTAGGAGAATACACCACAGTATTCCAAGCAGAAATCTACACCATCGAATCCTGTCTAATAGAAAACCAGACGCGGATACACAGGGTAAAACATCCTTATCTGCTCAGACAGTCAATCAAAGCACTCAACAGTTACGAAATAAAATCCAAACTTGTCTGGGAATGCTTGAAAAACCTCAAAAACCTAAGTATGGACAACAAGGTGCCAAGGCATAAAGGAAATGAAAAAGGAGATGCTCTGGCACGACGAGGATCAGAAACCAGTTATACTGGTCCTGAACCGGCAATTGGCACCACAAAATCTTCGGCAAGAACATCCGATAGGTGTATAGATAACACTAACCCAAACTCACTGGCAATGTTTTCGGAAGCTCGGACTCAGTAAGCTAATGGTAAAACAACGATCACCTAAACTTACTGAAGAGATCCTACAACTAAACAGGAATCAATCAGGCTAATAACCGCCTGGAAAAACACCTTCACCTTCGCACAATGGGCATCCTCCAAGAAAAACCCATATGCAGACTTTGTGATAAGGAGGATGAAACCGCCACCTACATAGTCTTCGAATGTGAAGCTTTACGCTGGTGGAGATATAAACAAATACGGCCAGAAGACCCTATCTCTAAACTCACCAAAGAGAGACCACACTGTGAAGAGGCTCATGAACCTAATCAAGGTCACGAAACTTTTCCCTGACTAAAAGACGAACAGGACAATATCAATGTTGGGGCCACCCAATTGGGCCTGTTCACTCTGCATCCTAAACAACCAACCAACCAACCATACACGCATATTTCTATACTTTTCTTTAAAACATAACAAACTAAAATTATAGAAGTACAATATTTTAGCACTATTCATACCTTTTGTATAGTCTCCAATTCAGCATCGTACATTTTAGTAATTTCCTCCAAATTCGGCGAGTACATTTCGATTTGTTCTTTCGAAAACGGTTCAGGTTTAGCTAGCTGAGCCATTGCGTCTTCGACAGTTTTCAATTCCTGGAAACACCGATGATAAATCAGCACCGTCGCTTGTTTATAGTTGGTCGTGATTTTCTTAGCCTTGTGATCGAGCTGAGCCAACGCGTGCTGTACGTTGCTGAGCCATCGGTTTGCGTCTTGGGTATTGATCACGTGGCTCAGGCGAGCGCCGGCTTCTTTGGTTTTTTCTTTGAGTTGTTCCATGGTTTTTAAAAAATCTGGAGAATATTGGGTTTTCAAGGTGCCTAGGCTTTTTTCGACTTGACCGCGTATGAATTTCACCCAGCATTGTCTGACTTGTTGAAGATCTTGTATAGCGTTTTTGTTGAAATTTTGAATTTCTGCTTGCAATTGAGTTTTTAGTGCCAAATAGCTTCGGTTGTTGCACAAAATCGTTTGGTTAATGTTTTCTATTTCAAGTTCGATAAGTTCGTCGGTTTGATTTGGTAATTTGTACGAGTTATGTTTTAGTTGTTCGTAAGCATCTTTTAAAATGTTGGTGAAGCCTTTTGATTTGTCTTTTTCAATTTTTACTAAATTTTCGTAAAACTCTTCCGTGAGTTTGTGCATCTTATTTGTATAATGAAGAATTGTGCTGTACATTTTTTCAAAATCGTTTTTTTCCATAGAATTAGCATTATCCTGATTCGATTTTATTCTTGCTTCAAATAATTCATCTTTAATCAATCGTTTAAAATCCTCCAAATTTCCTTTCAGTTGATCGGCGAGTTTTTCAAATAGGCGCTCGAATTTTTTGCAAATATCGTACTTCCTGGCGTGTAAGTCTTGTATAATTTTTTCATGTTTTTCCTCTTGTTTCTTGTAAAATGCCTCGAGTCTTTTCGAAGGCTTTGAGGTACCTACAAAATCTGTGGGCAAGCATTTCAGATCAAAATCATCATCCATCATTCGCGGGTTTATAAATTGACAAAAACTGTCAAAAACATTTTTAAAGGTATGAAAGAGTGAAGTCAGTGTCACATTGATCTGTATTGATCTGTAGGCAATCTACTGACCTGTCAAAAATGAAATTCAATATGGAAGTTCGGGTCAAGCATTGGGTCTAGCACTGTTTTGTTTATTCTGTATGTCATTGACATTGATTCTGTCACATTCTGGATAAACGTCCAGATTTGAATTGCCCTTTTCAATTTAAAAGCCTCTCTCTCTGGCATCAAACTGTCAGACGCCAAAAGAGTATGAAAACAATGGTTGACAGCCGTTGACAGTGGTTTGTAGACAAGACTTTTGAAAGAAACTATTACCTATTTCCTCGGTTTTTTCCTAACAATGGTGATTGTGTGTAGTGTGCCTATTCATAAAAATAATTCCTATTCACTGGCGGACGTGTCTTTCCATAAGTTTCCATCAAATCCTACCTTGTCAAAATTTGGAGACACAAAATCAGGAAGGATACCCGCAAAAGGAAGGGAAATCCACGGCCCATCAAGTATACAAAGTAATCCACGTCCAAGTTTAGTTGGCAGAAGCTGTCTGCTTCCAAAATAATCCACCACCGTCTCAAAAGCGAAATTCTGCGAATGAAGCAGTGAGTTTTCCTACAGTTTCTTTCCAACTTCAAACCCTGTGTTTTTATTCATATCAAATTTTACCTATGGATCCATCATTCTATGTCGGTCATTGTCATTTTTCATTTACTTAACAAAGATAGCTAACTCATCGATGAAGTCACCGATTCGAATAAAAACGAGGGGATTGCTAACCACCCAGTACACATTGACATTGACAAGCAAGCAAATGTTGGCGGGAAAATGAATGTTTTCATACTTATCGTCCATCTCTTTTAATTGAAAACGTCAATTATCGGATTTTGTGTTTTTTTGTGTGTTTAGGTATTTTGTTAATTAAAATGCCGGCGATTTGCATCGTAATTGGGTGTGGAAGCCGAGATAATAGGGATAATGTGAAATTTTATTAAGTTCCTGCTATTTTGAATCATTGGCTTTTGATCTACAAATATGGATTATCAAAACAACGCAGGGCTTTATGGATTGCTGTAACTAAAAGCTCAATTTTCCCTTAATAATAATACCTTAAGATATTCACTCTCCATCTCAGAATTTATTAATAAATTAAAAAATACGTAGAAACATTATAAACTTCACTCTGAATACAACAAGGGCCAGAACACTAAAAAATACGTAGAAATACTAAAGACTATAAAATTCACAATGACCAAAACCAATGAAAAATACGTAGAAACACATAAAATTCACTTCGAAAGCAGCAAGGGCCAGAACACAAATGCTCTCCTTATAAACGTCAAACGTCACCGGCTTGTCACCGCAATATTTGACCCGAACGGTCATTATAAAATCACGTGATTGAGATTGCCTAATAGAAAAATTATCTCTTTTACGAAAATCCTATAGAGAACTTTGCCTTTCGAAATAAGGTACCTACTGCTTTTAAAAATCCATATCGCAAACACACAAAATCATAGTTTTATGTGGCAACATACGATCCCCAAGGATAAATTCACATCCTGAGCAAAATTGAAAGTATAAATGAGATCCTTGCAAAATTTTTATGGAATGTTAATGCCACCGGTAATTTGCAACGAATTTTTTTCTGGTAAACCGAGCACAAATAATAGTACCCTTGTTCCATTACTAATTACTAGCATTGAGATATTTCGCATAGTCTAGTTGCTATTGTTCAATGGAATTTAGTGTGTACGACTTTCGTTTCTCCGCCACTGATTTTTAGCAATAAAAAATGACCACTTTTGAAACGTTTTGCAGATGACTTGGCATTGACTGATTTGATTACCCGGAGCTTTTAATGTCTTGACGTAATAAGCGTCACATAAATGTTTAGTATCTCGTTTTGAGTCTTTGTGGCGTTAAATCGTAATCGAGAGAGCTGAGACCTTTTTTTTTCAAACGTGGGAATATTTTGCATCATGTTGTTATTTTTGCTTGCATGCTGATTTAATGTAATTCAACAAGAACTCGGCTACTGGTAATTTGCTATTTTTGACGTTAGTTATTGGTGTGTCTGGGTTTTATTGCGTACTCGGGATTGATAATATTATGCTGATTCTGTTTCTTACGCCATGAAGGCGAGACTATTGTCGAGAAAATTGAAACCACTTTTATTTATTCATCTATTGAGATTTTGAATCATATTGGCATAAGCAGAAGCTTTTTGATGAATAATAAAAAACAATTCCAAGACTTATATTGATAACAAAATTGACCAGAGGACAGGCAAGCAAATTGGGCCTTTAGGGCAAAAAAGCAGAAAGTTGGCTAGCCAAGGAAGACGACATTTAGCTAACATTAAAAAGAGAGCACATTTCTCAATAAACCCAAAAGAGAAAGTATCCAAAAGACAGACTTCAAATCTTCACATTTCTGTTGGACAAATAAAGTGTCTTGCCATCTTGCACATAATATTACATTTTGAAAATGGAAACATTGAAAGTTAACCTCGAAATTAACGGTGTTGTGTCTTTGCAATGAAACAATCTTGGGTTCGATAAATTACCTTTTTCTCCGAATGTCAGTAAAAGCTGCCTTTTAATGACACTTGACAGGATCAAAAGTTGTATTTTTACTGCCTAGGCAGTAAAAGTACAAGTGGCAGTAAAAGTGGACTTTAACTGCCTAGGCATTAAAAGTGACAGTGTCACAACGTTCCAGGTAATAATTTCACTCAATTTGGTATTTGAAATTGATGGCGACAATGACAATTGTCAAAATAATTTAATTATTTGGATAATAATAATGAATGAAATAAATATAAAAAAAGATGTCCATGTGTGAATTTGAACATTCGGAGAAAAAATTATATGTTTTACATGGCAGAAAAGTAGATTTAATGCCTTGGCATTAAATCTTGTACTTTTCTGCCTAGTAAAACAAATAGCTATTTCAATATGACATGAATATGCGACTACAAAAGTTAAACTAACTAGTTTAATGTCTAACATTTCTTTTCCCTTAAGGAAAATAAGAATATTATTAACAAATCAAAATGTTATTTTTTATATCTAAATGGCTTATTAATCACCCGTTTTGATCTTCGCAATGATACAATTTCACTATTGTCTTTATTAGGCGAAATACATTTTTTATTTTTAACCATATATGAAATGTTGTCATTACTGACTTTTCAAAAATTTGAAAATGTCACATTTCTGTCTTTTTATTTTCCTGGTCCATTACCTGTCCCAGGACGGGAAATTTTTTCCGTCCTGATTTCCCGTCCACGGACGGAAAATGGAGTATGGAAATATTTCCCGTCCTCATTCCCCGTCCTCATTTTCCGACCTCATTTATTTGGTTGTCACGAATTCATTTATTTTTTTTCAAGAAATTATGGTTGAAAATAAAATAGTATACAAACCTCGACGGAAAACTTCATTGCTGTCTCGAGGTTCAGTTTATCTCGACGCTACGCGTCTCGATAAACTATATAACCTCTCGATCAGCAATGAAGCATTTCCCGTCTCGGATTGTAATATACTATTTTTTTTGAACTTTTAATAATTATTGTTTCTAGATTTTTATCACTATTATTTTCGTCACAGTCCGGACTTTACGTTGTCACAATCGGGGGGTTTGGCATATATTCGGAGTTTCTGACACACTGGAGCTTAAATTTTTAAAGGACCCCGCACACCTCTTATGGGTTTTTGGTTTTCTGTCAAACTCAATGAAATTTTGATATGCGTTAGACCTTGACTTCCTGATAAAAAGTTCTCATGGGCCCGAACCAATCCTATGATTAGTTTTTGAGATACAGGTACTTTTATGTCCAAGAAATGTATACATTTTATATGTATTCACAATCTACCTGTCACCTAATAATAGGTCTGTTTCTGCAAAAATCACAAACTTGTCAGAGCGAATTTGATTGGTCGAAAACAGTCAGAAAACTAGTTACAACCAATGAAATTCACTCTGACAGACCTAATAATAGGTGACAAGTGACAGGTAGATGTGAATGCATATAAAATGTGTACATTTCTTGAACATTAAACCACCTGTATTTCGGAAACTAATCATAGTATCGGGTTGGGCCCATGAGAACTTTTTATCAGTAAGTCAAGATATACCACATATCAAAATTTCATTGAGTTTGACAGAAAACCAAAAATCCATAAGATGTGTGCGGGGTCCTTTGACTGTGCAGTTGGAACATTTACTGGTTTGTATAAAACTAGAGTATGGGTTTCTGGTGTAGTTTCAACTTTATTGATATTATGACATTTTCTTAAATGGTCCACATGCACATATCTAGCATGTTCTCCTACCATAAAAATATATGTTACCAAACTAACTTTAACTTTAATAATACCATAACTCCACTTTTCCTGTTCACCCCTAACGTTTTTTACATAAATTTTGTCACCCTCTTCAAAAGTGCTATATCAAGACACGCTGGTGTCATGACTGTCATCATTTTTTCTTCCCAAAAATTTTGTCTGCTTATCTTAAACAATACTTATTAAAAGTAGGTTTCAACATCGAAATTCTAGTTTTCGGTTATTGTTTTAACATTAACTCTGGTGAAATTTGAGTAAATGAGGAATGTTTCTATAATAAAAGAAAAAATTATCTAATTTTTCTTGATTTGATTTTTTTGACGTATTAACATCAAATTTCTGTTTTATAAGATTATTCTTGAAAGTTTGAATGATTCTCTTAGCGATACCGTTTGATTTTGGATGTATTGGTGGTGACTTAATAACTCTTATACCCTGTGCTGAATGAATCAATCAAATTCCTCTGAATTAAATGGTGGACTATTATCAGAATGTATTTCATCTGGCAAACCAAATATAGAAAAAATTTGTCTCATCCACCCACTTACTACTTGCATCAATCAAAACAAGAAATTTTACATCATTTTTCATAGCAAGATCTAAATGCAATCGT